ATTCCAGAGGTTAGTTCATTCATTCGTTTTTTTTGTATTTTTTTCGAGTTTCGCCAGCGCTTTTTACATATTTTGGATCACAGAAGAACGACGTTTTCACCTGTCTATCCAATATTCCCCCAAAAAACTTTTCCTCCTCTTTTTCTATTATTTTTTCTGATTCTAAATTATTCATTGTCGATTCAAACCTACTTTTTTCTCTCCTTTCCCTCCTTTCTCTTCAATTTTTTTTCCTAGTTTTTTGAATTTTTTGAAGGGCTTCTACCGAGCATTCCAGGAGCCCAACATAGATGTCCTCTTGTGTCGTCTATCATCCAAATTAATCGAGCTTCCACAGGTCTAATTTATCATTATTCTCTTCTTTTTTTTCTTCTTTTCCTTTCGTTGGAGTTGGGGCTTTGAGATGAATGAAGAAAAACGAGGTCATATGCAGATGACCTCATATTCATAAAATTTTTGGCAAGGATATGGGTTTTCCTATCCTCCTGAAAATCTCTGAAGTTATTTTTCTCAGATTTCAGTTTATCCCACTTTGACTTCATTATCCTCACTGTCTCCATAGATTGTTACCATGAGCAATAACTATCGTCTTTGAAATTTAGTTTTTCTAAATATTCATCTAGGAATACAAATTAAATTTGGTTTTGACTGAGCATTATAGAATCAGACGAGAAATGTGAGTGTTTCGGAAAGCGTATGGTACTGTAACACTCGAATAGAACCCCACCAATGCATCTACCCATGTACTCCAGTAAAAGATATCAAAAAGTGATAAACTGACAAAATTTTTATCATAATATCAAAAATGTTTCGTTAGTTACCGTAAAAACTCTATTAGATAGCCACCCCTAATTGAATGCCAGCCTCTAATATAGTGCCAACCTAGAGCACCTCCGAACAATAGAGTGCCAGCCCCTAATATAATGCCACTGCGGACTTGATGTCAATGTGATAAAAGTTAAAGAATAACACAAACAATCATTATTCTGGTTTTTTAGTTTTTTTTCAACTTAAAAGAGGCACTGCATTTGTAAAAAATGTGTCAGGATAATATCGAATTCCGAAAGTTTCTAAAAAATCAAGAAAACCTCGGAAGTCATTTTATAAAAGAATAAAATCGAGCACTTTTTTGATAAGTGTCAGTAGAAATTAGCTCCGAACAATAAGGGACAAGCCTCTAATTGAATGCCACCCCCTAATACAATGCCACCCCAGACCACCTTCGAAGAATAGAGTGCCATGGCTATCTAATAGAGTTTTTACGGTAACTACTTTTCGGTATCTTTTGCAGGAACTGAGATAAATTGGCTCACTTGTGAAAGTGGGGATGACGTTCTATTAGAGTGTTTACAATGTCGATATTGATATTCAGTGAATCTCTTTGAACTCAAACTTTTTATTCTTACTGTTCTTAAGAACTTTGCGGTTTAACTCTAATTGTAATTCGAACTTGTTGCCCTGAAGTTGTGAGAACATCATTAGGAATCTGGGAGGTTCAGATATCAAAGGTTCAGAATTCAGGAGGTTCAGAGTTCATAAAATCTTGATACCTCAGCGCTGTCTAGTGTTCATTTGTTGCCAAAAATCACCAACACCTTCTACGCTCATCAATCGTTTGAACCATTTCCCGAACCACGCAAACCAATTTCTCACTCTGGCAAATTTCGTTTTTGGTGTGACATTTCACAAAAAAAAGACTCATAAAAGGACAGCCATACGGGTTCTTTCTGCTCTCCCTCACAATTCCAATTTATCACTCTTTTTGTTGCAAAAAAAGAAGGTGCCCCCATTCCCCCTGGACACCCTTTGCCCCGATTGATATGTAGTAGTGGTCGGTGGTAGCGCCCCGATCCATTCATCATCGTCTCGCCAGCCACCCATAGACACCATTTTCCCTTTTTTTGCTTCCTTCTAGCTCTTCTGGATGGTGTCCACCTTTAGTTTCCGGCCATTTCGATTAGCTTCACTTCCGATAATTAATATATCAGCCATCCATTAATCCATGTTCGTTTCAATCATTTCAATTTCCTGTCTATTTTCTCTCTTCACTTCGATAACTAACCAGTGACTCCAACTCTAGCCATTCCCCCAAAAAAATATCCACTTCATTTTTTTATCGCATTTTTATTTTTTTCATTTTTATTCCGTTTTTTCCCCGGTCGAGTTTTCCCCACCTTCTGCTTTATATCCTCACACCAAGCCAACTTTTTATGGAGAAAGGTAGAAGGCTCAAAATAATAATAATACTCTATTTGATCTTTTTTTTTCTCTTTTTGGCTCCATTTCGTTCAGATTGTTTTGTTGGTCCGTAGGATCTAAAAGTTCGAGTATTTTTTTTGATAAAGTTTCCATCAATTTTAGTTATATGATCTATCCTTCTGAAACTCTCACCTCCTGAAACTCCAGTATCCACTTCTGATCTTGTTCTACTTAATCTCAGCTACATAAACTGATATTTTCAACTTTCAACCCTTTTCTCCTCCAAAGCGTTTTTTCACCACCTAAGCCTCTAGTTTTCATGGATCTCTAGTTTTTTTTTTCGGAAAACCAAATCAGCGAAAATTGATAAAAGCATGTGGTGGTAACCCGTTGTTTCCGGAGACCACAAATATTCGATTACGGCTCATGGATTTGACGAAAATTCAAGACTCTGAAGATGTAGTATAAGAAGAGGAAGAAGAAGAAGTGCTTGAATCAATTATGCATACACACTTCCTCCTTATATTTATAATTATCACTGCTGAAGACGTGCACTTGTTAGAAAAAGATAATTCATTCGGAGTCTGCGGAAATGGCGAGGGAGCATTCCAAAGAAAGATTCTCGACTCATCAATCACTTGATTCTTATGAATTCTTTATTTTTCAGTGGAACTATTTTTCTTTTGTATGTTATTCTTTCTATTTATGCGAAAAAAAGAGAAGAAGGCGTGAATGCTGGCTGAGTGACAGATTAAAATTAGTGGAACAACACATACCTCAAACTTTTTTATGCTTGAATTTTTTTAAAAACAGAAAAAGAAAGAGAAAAATGAACAGTGGATAAGTAGAATCAGTACATAGAATCAGTAGAATAAATTTTCGAAGAATTTCAATTTCAAAGAATTTTCAGAAGGTATTTCAATTTGAATAACATTTCTAATACAGAGAATACTCAAGAATTTCGAACTCGAGTTCACAATTTTCAATTTCTTTGTTCTTTCTGGAGATATTTTGAAGCTAAACATATATAACACCTGTAGTAGAAGCGGTTGCAGCTCAATTATCTCGGTTTCTATGCAAGATATCAAAAAAGTGTCTCCTGATAAAATACTTCTGGCATTATGATAAACAATTTATCAATTGACAACTTTTTAATATCTCTGACAGGAAGCACCAAAATTTTTCTCGAAGTGGCTAGTATTCTGACTAACTAGCTAATTTAACGTCTTATTCTTTTTTAAAATTTTTATTTGACCTATTTACTTTGTCTATTTTTGACAGGTTGTACATTTTTAAAAGTTTTCTATAATTTTTAGCAAAAAAAAGGATTTTACTTCCAAGTGTAAAATATGTAAATTCGCAATCCATCCGATCCTTCTCTTTTTCTTCTTATATTTCTTTCCAACTCACACACGAATTCTTTTCTCTTCTTCAGTTTCCTTCAAAACCGTGATTATTGTTATGAGGCCTCACGTCTCCTTCCTCTTCTCCTTCTTGTACCCACACAGAAATCATCTAAACTCAATTTCCAAAGTGTCACACAACCCCATCGCCAACACCAAAACAAATTTGTGATATGATTCTAGTTAGGCTCTGGCGGCCCCAGTTAACGAACTTTGTCTTTGGCCAGAATCCTCCCACATCTGGACAGAAAAAAAGGAAAGGCAACATCACCTTTTTTGTTGTGCTGTGTGAGTTTTCTGCTCTCTAGAAACTACGAATCTCAAATTTCTGTGTTGTGGTTGATGTCAAAAGTTGACCTACTTTTGGTGTTCCTCCCTTTAAAAGACGAGCTTCGGGAAAAATAAAATATTTGAGAACAACCAAAAGATCAGTGTTCTCCAAAGACGGTTTTTTGTAACTATGCAAGGATTTTTCTTGTTCAGAAATGACGATTTTATTGAACAATATGGTTTCAATTCTGAAAATTTTTCACCAAGTTTTCTCGCCAAATTTTCAAAAATCAGCTCCACACCACGAGGTTCTGATCAAAACTTCCTGAAGTTTTGTATTTCATTATCTTGTTTCTTCCGTTTTTTTTTACTTTGTGCGCAGAATGTTACCGAGGTTGAGATATCGAAGCACAACAAGCCTCGTTCGGCGGCCTCTCTTTTTTTTGTCCATTGTCACACAAAAACATTTAATGAATAAAATATGAACAGTCAACGACACCTCAGAAGAGGCAAAGTAGAAGAAGAAGGTCCCGTTGAGAATTACTTCTTACGCCGACAGAGTCTTCGGATTCAGTTTTTGATATAACTTGCGCGTTTTTAGAGCCTTAGGAACTGTATTTGGGTTATATTGAATTTAAAGAATTAAGAAGTTATGAAATTGTAACTAATGACTTTCCACTCATGAATAGATTAGATCCGTACTTTCAAACTTAGGATCCGACCCGGCCCGGCGCAATGTGCTCGTTTTTCAAATTTGAACATTTCTGAAATTTCAGAAAGTTTTTCAAAATTTTTAAAGAAATATTTTCATAAACGCTCCGTTCTATGAAAACTTTTTAAGTGGCTGAATTTTTGTTTTTATTAACTCCGAAGTTTTTTTGAAATGACCAGCAAAACTAAATTTTCCTTGTTGACATACTTTTTACCTCCGAAACCCGGGCCAGCGAAAATCCTCGAATATTTATATTTCCAAATCTCAAAAATCTGAGATTTCTATCAGATTTCTTTCCATCGGAATTTAAGCATTTCCTTCTCAGAACCTGTGATTCAATGATTTCATTTGATTCACATTAGGGTTTCTCCTTCTTATTTTTTTTTCCTCCGTTTTCCGGACGCCTCACTCCAACCTCAGCATTCCTTCTTCTTCTTCTTCCTCCTGTCCCTGCTGCTTAAAACACAACAACAAGAAAAAAATCTGTGTGAATATAATCGGTTGACTAGTAAGGATAGTGAGTGATCCCAGGAGACCAGGAATGCCCCTATTGTCCACTCCTCTCGGAAACTTTTTGTGCTCCTCCACGTCTTCAGCTTCTTCTCTTGCTCTCTTCTAGATTGACGTCGTCGTCGAACATGATGAGGTCCTTTTGGTTCTCCTCTCGCCACACATACATTCCTGTCATTCACATCACTAAATGGTGATGGGGGTGGAGCATTTCGTGCTTTGTTGGAAGTGCAAAACGTGGCGGAGAAGGAAGGTGCTGCAAATTTTTTGAGAAGACATTTTTCAAATTTATTGAAAATAAATTCCTCTTTAGATCTGGATTCTTTTAAATTTTCAGATACTTTTCAGTCAGACCATTTATCAGTATTGATAACCTAGTTTTTACGTTAAACTTTTTTTCGACGGATTAGCGTACCAAAATCCCTAAATTAGACCCTAGACATCAAATTCAGTTCGTGAATCTCCTCTTCTGAATCATCTCGTTCCTGAATACACTTCACTCGGACCTTCACAATACAATTTCACAACTTTTCATTGCCCACTTCACCTAATTCAGACTTTTTATAAAAACTATTTGGCTCTAAAAATTTTGAATTAAAAAAAAGTTTGCATTCTGAAGAAAATTTCGGATTTAAAAGATCTTCAAAAAAACCTACATTTTCTGGCCTCTTCTAAAATCCAAAATTTTCTTTGAAATCCAAAATAACCAACTAGAACCAATATATTCATATTTAGATGGTGTCCTTAAAAACCAAAAAGTGATTTTCAGATTGACTTAATCCATTTAAGCCTCCCTCTTTTTCAAAATATTGGTTTCTGATAGTTTCAAAAATTGCACCTGTTCCGTAAACTCCCCCAGCTTCGTTCTTGGCTCTAAAAAAGTTTGAATTCATTGGAAGTTCAAGAAAAACGAAGAAACATGAAACTAATAGTAGTTGTAGTAATGTTGCAATTCATCTCAACCGCTTCTTCTTTCTCATTCCACGATTAGTTGCCATTTGCATCTCGCTCCTTCCTATTCTCTGCGTATCTTCTTCTCCTACACTCTCTCACTCTTCTGTGCTCCTTTTAGTTCCAGCAAATGACCCTCACCTGCCCTCCAATGGTCATTAATAAAAGCAACACACACACAAAATGTCATTTTTCCTCAAATCCTTGGCTAACCCATTTTCTTCATCCTCTCTTTTTTTCTCAGTTTTCTGTCCCACCGAAACCTCCATTTATGTTGGGAAGAAGGTTTTTCTAAAAGCGCTCAGGGGTTGAAAATGCGGCTTTTTAATCGTCTCCTCATTCTCTCCTTTTTTATTGTTTCATGAACTTTGACTTTGTACTCTAAATCTCTTACTTTCCTATTGTGTTCTTTTTTCCAGATCCTCTGAATCAACCCTAACGTCTTCTGTGGTCCAAAAATATTAAGAAAAGTGTCAAAGCGGAGCGCGAAACTTGAAAATTCAAACTATTAAAAAAACATGAAGTCGTTTTAAAACTTAGAATGATCCAATTCAGAAATACAACGTACAGTATGAATCGGATAGCGCGCCATTTGAGGAATGTGGCTCGCCGAAAAGGCTCGCTGCTCCTTATATTGTTCATGATAAACACAGTTCTGATAACAGGAACCACTGGAAAAGAAGACGGTAAGTTGGGGGAAGAGGATGAGGATTTCGGGTGGAATGATGAGGAACCTCCTCCGGATGATAATATACACGATGGAGGGATTCCTCTTGTGAGAAAAGAGGAATTCGCCAATAATCAGTTGTATGCGGAAGCATATCAGAGTTATATACAGGCATTGGCATGTAAGTTTTCAAAGTTTTTCAGAGTAATTTATCCGAAATTGGTTTGTTTGAACTTTATCATCTGATAGGACGAAAATACCGTATTTCCTCAATTAGAAGCCCACCAAAACCGTCATCTTTGAGCTCAATTATCATGATTCCTGTGAAAGATATCAATAATTAGTAAACTGTCAAATCGTTTATCATAATACCACCAACATTTTATCAGTTGACAAATTTTCGATATCTCTCATAAGAACCGAGAAAATTCAATTTTCAGGCCATTTTAAATTAGGTTTAAAAAAACAGCTAAAACTTGAAACTGAATTGAATTTAGATTGAAAATGATTAACACTGTTAATTTACCTAAAAACCTGTGGGGCTCCCACATTGTCAAGTTTGAGCTGGTTTTTCTTGACTCCTATGAGAGGTATCAAAAATGTGTTAACTGACAAAACATTTTCTTTTTTCTTTCATTTACCTATTTTGATAAACAATTTATGAGTTGAACATTTTTTGATATCATTGACAGGAACCAGGATAAATTGGCTTAAACTCAAAAGTTAGGGGATCCTTTACTACAGGTTTTACTATAAAACATTTTTCAGAATGTGTTTTTTGTTAAAATTATCTCAATTATCTTTTTAAGACCCGGCGCGACTAGTAGTTCGACCCGATTCTTCTACCGTCGTCGATGAATCAAAAATATCGTTTTTCTGCCGAGCGGATGGAAACCCTTTGCCAAGTGTCATCTGGAGAGTCAATGGAAAATCGATATCCGATCATAACAGGTATAGTGACTTTTTGATATAGACAATCCTACATTCTATAATTTCAGAATATCCATCAAATCCCTGTCCACCGGATTATCAACCCTTCGATTCGAACGTGTCTCCGTAGATGACAATGCTACAGTAGTCTCTTGCTCAGCGGATAACGGTGTTGCCAACCCAGTCGTAGCGGAAGCATCCCTAACGGTTATTCCACGCGATAAAGTACCAACTGGATTCCCTCAAATAGAACTGCACCCATCTTTGAAATCTGTGGAACAAGGAAAAACGGCATATGTATCGTGTCGAGTTCGTGGTGATCCGAGAGCTAAAGTTTTGTGGCTTCGCGATCTGATTCCGTTGGATATTCGACAAGATGGACGGTATTCTGTGAGCACAATTGGAAATCCAGGAGCACTGATGATTCAGCATGCAAGAGAAGAAGATCAGGGAAAATATGAGTGTATTGCAAGGAACTCGTTGGGTGTTGCTCATTCTAAAGCTGCAAATCTTTATGTCAAAGGTTAGTTTATTTTCTAAAATTTTGAGGAAATTCCGAAAACATTTATCAGCAACTAAACCCAATTATCTTTTATTTACAATGTCTTAATTTTGTATTCATTAAAGTTCATTGGCTCCCTATCCTTGCTTTTCTTCTTTTTCTTCTTCTTTTCCTAAGTTGTCTCGCCCACTTTCAAAATCGAAAATAGCGCGAAAAACTGTTCAAATTTGCATTAAAATAGGTTCTATCTCTCACACTTCTGTCTCTCTTTTTCTTTATCTTCTCCAATTTCTGGTCGTTTTTGTGTTTCTCTGTGTTGCGATCACATTTGCATTTGTTTGAGCATGTGGCCTGATATCTGCGTCCTCTCCAGAGTCCTCCTGGTCACTTTTTATTCGGTCACTTTGGCTGTGTTTCGTGATTTTATATGCCAGCCAGTCGATGATGATGAGAGAGATAGAAGAGGTGTGATCACATCGAAATTCACTGATTTATGTTTTTATTTGAGAACAAGAGATTCGATATCATTTTTCAAGTTTTACGATCGACATGTTTCTATTATCAACGGCTCTCGACTTTTGGCTGCTTTCGTTTCCGGTCTACTTGTTCCCGATTGTTCTGATGTCATTTTTTGGTGTTTCTCCAGAACTGCACGGCATCTAGAATATACTAGACACTAGAATTCTTAAATTTTTCTGTTCTTATTGAATCTTCAAAATCTTTAAGAGTTTGCTCTGATTCAATAACAAACATTTTGAAAAACGAAAAGACATACCTGAACAGTCTGGTCACCGATCTTTTGTGAAATTTGAGCAAACACTTGAATCTGTTTTTTTTTGTTGCAAAATCAAAACAGAAAGTGCATTTGGCTTAATTTTTTTTTAATTTTCCTCCAGACGAATTTCAGTTATAGCCTTTGTTTCTCTCGAATTTATTTTGGTAGTTCCCAAATCTATTTTTTTTTGAATTTGAAGTTTGCAAATTTGGCAGAGGCTTATTTAGAATTGAAAACTACCGTAGCTTTTGTCAAATATTTGAAAACTCAGCTGACTTTTTTGCAATTTTTCTCGATTTGTCTTAATCCCTCTATACATTTTTTTACAACAAAAATTTTTTCTTGTCTGACCAGGAATATAAATATACTAGTTTTAATGCTCTTTCTCCCTCTGTCCGTTCCTCCTCAACACTCATAAAAGCGATTCGAAATGGGGAATATTCCGGATATCCAGAAGCCATTCTTCAGCTGTGTGCTTTCCAAAACTCTGAGCACTTGTAATTGGAGGTCATCTGGAAGATGTCGTTGATCGTCATCGAGGCGCCTTCCCGACATGTGTGTTTTATGTGTGGGCACACACACAACAGAGATGACCAGCAATTTCTCATTTTTATGACACCCGGCCACAAATTTCAATGATTCTTTTGTCTTTGGAGCAGCATCATCTTAGTTTTACCCTTTGCCAACTTCTACTGATCATTTTATTCTCATTTCCTTTTCCAGTAGAAGGAAGTACTGTTGTAAATTCCATCCTCTTCTATCTTTTACTGAACAACAATTAAATTAAAAGTGCGCGAAATGTTTGCATATGCTAATGGATCTCGGGAATCAGAGAGTATAGAAATTAAAGAGACACAGAGATCTTAGTGTTTATGACAGTTTACTTCATTGGGTTCATCATCACCATCTTGATTTCCTTTTTCCTCATCTTCTTTGTCTCGAACCTTCTGTTTGAATTCAGTTTTCGGTTTCCGGGGACATCTGTTCTTGTCACCTCATCCCCGCCCCGTAAATCAACAAGTTGAACTACCATTATCCTGAAGTACTCCTCCGCCTGTTGATTAGATGAATCGTTTCCCATTACTTCGGAACAAGAGAGACTCATTCTAACGAGCTTCTATGGGGTCACTAGTTGTGATTGGATCTTCTGATATGATCTCGAAAACATTGGGATCCGAAACTTGGGTTCCATTTCCTTACTTTATTTTTTTCAGATCAATTTTTATGACCCACAAAAGTTGTATACACATCGGCAAACTTAAATTTGTTTATTTTAAAAACGAAAAAAAAATTTTTGGCTTTCCTGTTTTTCGGTTTTGTAAACTCATGAAGATTTGTTTCCTCTTGGTTTCTTTTTTTTCAGTTTCATATACCGTTAATCCTGTAAAACACTGCCAAGTTTGAGCTCAATTATCTCAATTGCTGTCAGCTATATCAAAAAATGTCAACTGATAAACTATTTGTGATATTATGATAAACAATTTATTAGTTGACACTTTTTTGATATCTCTTATAGAAATTGAGATAATTCAGCCTTAAGTTGACGGTTTCGGTGAGCGTTCAAATTGTTTTCCACTCTGAAATTTTGAATTTTAATTTCTCCAGTTTCTAAAACTTCAAAAAAAATAATTTATTCAAATTTTCCCGCCCAAAAAATATTTCCAGTTTTCTCATAAATCCTATAATTATACACACGATGCTCACCTAGAAATCATTAATCAAGGAAACCTTGTCACTCATATCCTCTCATAATATTGACGAAGACAAAGTGCCGCTCATTTTGTTTCTCTTTTTTCTCAAACACACATTCCTCGAGTGCTTCTTCCAGTTTTCTTCTCAATTTAAAACTCAACTCTCAATTTCTCATTCTTTTCAGTTCCAAAAAGATTTCAATCCTCGATAAGTATTTTTTCCCCTCTCCTTCCAAGGTTTCGGTCCATAAACTTCATGTAGAGAACATGACCAATTATCTGACTCTCAATCAAATCCTTCTCCTCTCATTCTGCTCTTTTATTTTCTACTTTTTTTTCTCCTCCACATATTATTACTAGCTCAACCCCACTTTGTCATCCGTGATTGATCCTTTTCTGTTGTTTCAATATACCAAAATATTTTTTCGTTTTTGATTTATCTGTCATATGTCCTTTGACGAGCCGAATCATCCTTCTGGAATATATATTTTTTTGGAAACATGATGGAAGACAATAAGACTATTGCGGCACAGCGAATAATTAATTTGAAAAAGAAGAGAAAGAGTGCTTTTTTTCTTCTTCTTCGTCTTCTTTTTTGCTCGGATCGCCGACGAATTCTCAAGAAGTTTTCCGAGTGGAAGAAGGAGAACCACTCGTTTTTTAGACGTCCCGAAAAACTTCACTTTCGGTTACTTTAGTTGGAA